CAGGTTAACACCTGTCGAGGTGGTAGAAATTTAATTTCTACGCTGCTTGGCAACCCCAGCGGCAGCAAAAGTACTTTTAGTGCCGCTGGAGCGGCAGCAAAAGTACTTTTAGTGCCGCTCGTACTTTTACTGCCGCTTAACCATTCAGTTACCCCCGAGCTTACCCCATTTGTTTGGAGAAAAAATAGCGTGTTGCATACGGAGTAGAAGCACTTTTTTGTGCCTCAGCATTATTGCAAGCCTCACTACGTTCGGCTCGCAAACCTACTGCTTCAGCACAAAAAAGTAAAGCTTCTACTCCTAATACAACAATATACTATTTTAGGTCAAATATGTCTAATAAGAAACTAGGGTTTTTAATTCATATCTCGAGAACGAATGAAACGCTCTCAAGAGGTGCCACTTGACCTATAGACCCATTTAAGGATTGTGGGTGCGTATTGCCGATTCACCCCGTGATCATGAGAGTAACGTCAAAATATGCCCCCCTCGCAAAATCGGTTGACGTATTTTTGCGTTTTTCCTAATAGACCCTGAGAAAGGGCCTGTTTAGTGGAGTCATTTTTTTTTGTCTGGCATTTTGAGGGATGAATGTGGCAAGTTAACTGATGAGAATATAAGTGGTTTTAATGCCTGCCCCCTGTTCGATTTGTCCACAGAATGTTTCGCCGGAAAACTCGACTTCGAACTGTGATTACCGACTGGCGATTTTTCAGCGTTATTTTCACAACAAAACCTTCCATTCTCTCGATTACCAGACAAAAAGTAAACGCGGAAGGTTCTTTTCTCTTCTCTTGGAAGTTGACACTCATCCCCACTTTTTCAGCTATTGAAAAGCATCTGGTATTTTTTATGGGTGAATTATTCATCAATGTGAATCTTTTATTTAGAAGCCAAAAAATTTGAGATCATTAAAAAAAAAATCTTCATGTAAATCAATTTTTTTCTTCTGCAAATTTTCGAACGGGAGGCAGGCATTAATATCACCCATATTCTCATCAGCTTAGTAGCCACATTCAGCCCTCAAAATGCCAGACAAAAAAAAATGGCTCCTCTAAACAGCCCCTATCTCACAGTCGATAAAGAAAAATTGGTGCTCGGTGATTTCTGGGAACAACACAACATACATTTTTGTTATTTTTCTGTGTAGTATAACACTGGTATACACATTAAAAACTCTGGTAGGATGAATAAATCATCACTAATCAACTGAAAGGGGAAGGTACCCCTGAATTTGAGATGTGACAACTGTATACATATACAAAGTTTAAATTCAAACGTTTTTGAAATCATTTTTTTTTCGCATCTTAGTCCAAAGAAAGATTGGAAGGATATTTTAACAATGGCCTAAGTAATGTAGAGGACGGTCGATATAATGAAAGAGTCATGTTAGTCGATATCTCGTAGGAAAAGCAATAGGTGCCTCGAGCATCTAAAACGCGATTTATATTTTTGAATAGAAAAGGGGCTCCAATTTACGGGAAGTTAACATCATTAAAATGCTGTAATGGTAATGATAATTTTTCCATATTGCACGTTGACTTTTGTAAATATTTGTGTATATAATTTATGTCTTTGGCTTAATGATAGAGAGATGGGACTGTGAAAATCGGAAATAAAAAGAAGCGCGTCATAGAAAAAAAAAATATTTTCAGCAGCAAGGCGATCAAAATTATATTATGGCCTCTAATGACTGAAAAATGGATCAAATAGTTATTTACATTACAAGTGCGTTTATGAGCATGATTACAATAACGAGTGTGAAGGATTAGAACGACAAGGTCATAGACCGAGTCGTTCTAATCACACGAGTTTTGTAGTCATGTTTAAACGCACGTGTGATGTACAACGTTTTATCTATAAAGCGAAAAATAAGAATATTTTTCCAATTATTTTCGTTCATTAATAGTTGTCTACCTTCATTTTACCTTTACAGGTTTACATTTGACAAATCACCAAAAATTGTTGTGTTATAGACTCATAACCTCGTCCATAACACCACTAGTTGTGTTATGAATTCATAACCTAGTCTATAACACCACTAGTTCACTAGTTGTGTTACGAGTCTCAAGACGTAACTCAAATACTAGAAAAATGGTTATGTAAAAACGTCATAACCAAACGCTTGTAGATAAAAGTATATACAGGGTGTCAATTTGGAAACTTTTAATGGATATATTCTGACTAACCAATAAAAATATAGAAAATCTCTGAAAACAATAGGCTCGTTCAGTGAAGTTTCATTAATCACGTTTATTCATATTTTTATGGAGTATTACTCACATACAATATGAAAAAATTGACAAGTCTAAAAAAATACAATTTTAATTTAATTTAATAATGTTTCATTTAATCAAAATCAACCAAAAACTATCACATGGAATGTAGCTTTGTAGGACACTATTGAAAAGCATTTTTTAGAGAGAGTATCACAAGTATACTTGTGATACCCCCTATAGGGGGTTGCTATTTAAGATTATTTTGGTTATTGTATCATTTTGGTTCCCCCTCCCTATTGTAGAAATTGTTTTCACAGATTTTTTATACAGGGCTTTCATTCCAAAACTTGCCACCCACTTTATCTGCGTAAAGAGACATATTCGTGGAAATCGCCGAAACACGTCAACAAATTTATTGCGGGGGAAGGTTTTTTACGTGAAAGTGGACTTCGCACCTTCAACCCCCTAAACCCTAGGGCTACCACCCCAAAATTTTCAAATGAGACAGGGGGTCGAGTGATAGATCATTTCAAAGGGCTGGTTAATCTGTACATTTTGCTGTCCTATTTTTTGAATTTGACCTGTGTTGCAGAATAACACCCATTTCAATGTTTAAAAATGCCTATTTATCCCTAAACACACCTGCTTGTTTACCTGTGGCTGTAATAAAAAGGAAGGTAAAGAAGCAGGTGTGTTTAGGGATAAATAGACATTTTTAAATATTGAAATGGGTGTTATTCTGCAACACTGAGGTCAAATTCAAAAAATAGGACAGCAAAATGTACAGATTAACCAGCCCTTTGAAATGATCTATCACTCGACCCCCTGTCTCATTTGAAAATTTTGGGGTGGTAGCCCTAGGGCTTAGGGGGTTGATGGGGCGAAGTCCAGTTTTACGTAAAAAACTTTCCCCCTCAATAAATTTGTTGACGTGTTTCGGCGATTTCCAGAAATAGGCCCCTTTATGCTGATAACGTAGGTGGCAAGTTTTGAAATGAAAGCCCTGTATATTTTTTGGATATAGCTATTGAAAGTTTTCAAATTGACACCCTGTATTTGTCCTTCTGGGTATCGACCAAGCTCCATTTTTAATGCTGATGAAAACAACCAACCGCATTCACGCCAACGCGACTGTGCTAACGACGGTAATGGTGAATTAAATACCCAGCTTTTTTTCACACAAATGATGTCAGTTGTAGAATATTTTCATTAACGCCACCGAACTTGAGATTGTGAAAGACACGCGAAAAGGATTTTTATCAAAATATTTTATCGAATGCAAAATGTATACAATTCAATAATTCACTCACAACCAGCCTAGGAGACGAAAAATCAAAGGCAAATAAGGTATCAGTCTTAGCAATAACAAGCAGTGGTTGTGGCTTTTTACAGCTGAAGGAATTTATGAGCATGCTAGACACCATTAATGGTTATAGATTGTAGAAAGCAGAAGAAAAAAGCTTGCAGCCATGAAAGAAACGTACTGGAAGGATGGATGGATGGATAAAAATATTGAGAATTGCGTTCCACTATAACGGCTATCCATTGGAGCTTGAACTAAGAGCTCCTATCAACCTGTACCTAATAGCCAATAGGTACCTACACATTGATAATCATAGAGTAAGCTCGAAAAAAATTACAATCAAATAAGGAATATTATTCGCTCATTTACTCTTGCCTTCTTAGGGTTCATTTATAAACAAATTTATCTACGCGTTTTCTTAGTGTCTCAAATTATAAATTAGAAATTTGATGACGGTAAATAAACTTGTAATATTATACCTACTCCCAATAAATCTTCAGTTAACAAAAAACAAACTTGTATTGTTTTTACACAAAATATAATTATTGCTTGTTTTGGTGGAAACGACCACTTTGCAGTTTCCATATAAGGTTAATCAAAATTTTTGCTTATTAATACCTGCATGGATTGGTATTTAAATCATGAAAACCTAGTTCTAGTATGACAAAACCAACAGAATCAACAAATTTCAAGTATGTAGAATTAGTTGCTAATTATTTGCAATATTTTACAATTTTATTGAGCAGTTGAGCTAACTTGACATCAAATTTAGCAGGAAAGCAAATATTTTTAAAATCGATTACCTAAATCATGCATAAAAACTTATTGCTTCCGGCTTCCGGTTGATCGTAAAATCAACAAAAATTGTTTGAAAAATCAACTCTTGCCAGATCACAATGAAACCAAATGCCTACCTAAATTTGAGCCGGTTGTCAACCAGATAGAACCAAGCCTAGCCAAAAGTCTTAAAAAAACTTAAACCAGGTATAGTCTACCATATCGAGATGAAATAATTTTAATCAAAAATTTGTTTCAAAAATTATTTATCGTTTTGACCGAAATCGGAGATACCTACCTGTCCGAGGGTTTTACAAATGGAATTACTTCATCGAGTCTCAAGGTTTACTTGCGTCGTCCTGTAATAACCATCTATATAGCATTTAGACTGACTTGTTAGTCCAGATATTAAATCGAGCACGGTTCAACTTTTTTCAGTCGAAATGCACTAAGAAATAAAACTAATAGGCTCGATCACTAATATTCTGCCGATCGTGGTTAACGCGATGCGGTGGACATCTGCCCTGAAAAGCAGGATAAAAGTCTGCAGAAATGCACGCATTTTTAAAATTTTTCATGTTTGACGAAATTTTTCAAAAATTCTGCTTTCACTTAGTAAGCCGCAAAATTAAAATCAGTACTATAATTTAATGTCAAGTCGCAAGAATTCAATTTGAAATAATAATTGCAATAAAACTTACCAAAAGTAAATCAAAGCACAATTACGGGTTTCACGTTGTGTCACGATGTTTGGCGAAAAAAATCAGATCATCGTCATAAGGCAGTCGACACCAATTTTGACGCGAAACTTCTCTAGGGGCTATTCGAACCAAAGCGCGAAAGCGAATGCAACAATCCAACATGCAACTTTTTCAGACTCGAAATCCCACTCGCGGCCGGCTGTTAGTGGAGCGCCAGTCAGTCTTTGATTTTAAGTTAACCCGCGCGACATACGTAGTTTCATTTCGGAGGAAAAAGTTAAAAGCCGGTAAATGATGCTTTTACCATACCCAACCCATCAACCTACCTACCTGATACACCTACACCTTATTATAATATTTCGGAAGGTCATTTAACTAGATTTATTTTAAACCTTATAGAGCAAAAGGAAATTTGCATTTCTATTATTTCTATTTGTGTGGTGAGAATGATATTATACAATTCAATAAAAACAAACCAGGTTTTGAACGTCTACCAATCACAGCAAGGAAATTACCAACAGAGGAAAATAAGCTGAAATGTTTTGTTGTCACAGGACCTCTGCAACAGAAGGACAGTATTTACAATCCAGACTTTTGGCCCAGATACGTGGGAGTCAAGAGGTTTGATTTCAGGAAACAAGGGTTTTCTGGACTCCTGTGCTGGTGATTTTTTAGCCTAGGTCTAGTCTAAATGGAATCGATTTTCTAATAATGTTCCAGTTTTGGATTCCTTAGTTATTGTACATCTAAATGTTCAATGTACAGGGTGATTCATTAAGAATGGCACTCGGCCATATCTCAAAAACTATTCATCGTAGTCTTGTCGGAAAAAAATTATCCCATAAATATGGCCAAGAGAAAATGCTGGAAATATATTTCAGCTTTCTAAAATGACCGTAAGGGGGCGTAACCCAACTGTCAAAGTACAAAAATGGTTTTATTTTTGAAATTTCAAATGGGAACGTATCTTGAAAATGCTAGCAATAGATTTTGATGAAATTTCACACAATTTTGATTCAAGACTTTTTACCAGAACTTATCGGATAAGATAGTTATGAGCTGTCAAATATTGCAACTTAATAACACGAATAACTTCAACGTATTGGGTCGATCTTAGGTTCGTTGGAAAGATAAGAGTCTGTTCTTTAATTTTGTTGTAAAAATTTCCAACTTCAGTTAGTTAGACTGACTCTATGGGTGGATATTTGAAAACAATCGAATTTTTCTAATTTTTCTTGAAATTTTCAAATGGAACGGTATATTTAGGATACGTTCAATCGATTTTTGAGGATGTTTTACACAGTTTTTCTTTATTATACCTTCCTACAAACGAATTCCAGAGAGTGTTAAATTTAATTTTATCAAAAATAATCAATATTTATGAAAAAGCCCTCGTAAATAATGACTTCGTTTTTCTGACAGTTGATTGTCAATTGTCATCATTGATGAACGTCAATTAATGAAAAAAGTGCGTTAGGAAATTGTAGTGCCAGAACGTTGGTTGTATTTTCCTCGCACGTGGCCCTACGTCTTCGAGTGAAAAAGGGGGTATGAATAGGTACTACCCGTAACCCTTAAACGATTATTCAACCTCCTGATGGATCTAGGGTCAGGGTGAGGTCTTTGGGGATAATGCCCTGAATAAATACGTGCTGCGATTGCTGCATTTCCGTTACATTCATGCATTTTGACTTTAGAAAATAACGTTTGGAGTGAGTTCGAAATCACCCTGGGGCGTCACACCGAGTGCACACCAGCTATAAATTATATAAAGTTTGTTTTTTATTTAAAGATAATTCCCCAAGTCGAAAATTTAGTAACTATGTTGGCAACACAAGCCTTTTCTACATAAAAAATTTGAAAACATTGACAATTTTAAATTGTATTGCCACATAATGTCATTTTGACATTTATCTTTAAAAAAAAATAGTAGATTATACCACGAGTCAATAATGATAGCTATTATTCCCGAGGATTATTACGAACTGAGCCGCGTTAGCGGCGAGGGAGTAACATTCCGAGGGCATAATAGCCATTATTGCGAGTAGTATACTCTACTTTATTTACGACAAATTAATTTATTTGAGATTTTCAATGAACAAATTTTATTTACGACTAATGTATAATGTGCTTATTATATTTGTGATTTTGGCAGTATAATGACATATGTTATTCCTCCAGGGATTAATGACGAGTAGCGGGATTAATGGTCATTATTCCACAAAAGTGTCAGTGTCAAACGTGTAGTGCTTGTGGATTTGTATTGAAAATTATGAGACGGATGAAATTTGTTCATTGAAAATCTTAAATAAATTAATTTGTCGTAAATAAAGTAGAGTATACTACTCGCAATAATGGCTATTATTCCCTCGGAATGTTACTCCCTCGCCGCTAACGCGGCTCAGTTCGTAATAATCCTCGGGAATAATAGCTATCATTATTGACTCGTGGTATAATCTACTATTACATGGCTGGTGTGCACTCGGTGTGACGCCCAGGGTGATTTCGAACGCACCCTTGAAGTTTTAAAAATGTGTCAGCCTGACATATTTAACTGGTAACTGTTCAATTTACGAGGGCTTTTTTATAAATACTGATTATTTTTAAGAAAATTAATTTTAACACTATCTGGAATTCGTTTGTAGGAAGGTATGATAAAGAAAAACCGTGTAAAACATCCTAAAAAATCGATTGAACATATCTTAAATATACCGTTCCATTTGAAAATTTCAAGAAAAATTGGAAACATTCAATGGTTTTCAAATATTGACCCATAACGTCAGTCCTACTAACCAGAATTTGAATTTTTCACAACAAAATTAAAGAACAGACTCTTGTCTTTCCAACAAACCTGAGATTGACCAGATTCGTTGAGTCGTTTTGAAGTTATCCGCTTTCTTGAGTTGCAATATTTGACAGCTCATAACTATCTTATCCGATAAGTTCTGGTGGAAAGTCATGAATCAAAATTGTGTGAAATTTCATCAAAAATCTATTGCTAGCATTTTCAAGATACGTTTCCATTTGAAATTTCAAAAATAAAACCATTTTTGTACTTTGACAGTTGGTTTACGCCCCCTTACGGTCATTTTAGAAAGCTGAAATATATTTCCAGCATTTTCTCTTGACCATATTTATGGGATAATTTTTTTCCGACAAGACTACGATGAATAGTTTTTGAGATATGGGCGAGTGCCATTCTTAATGAATCACCCTGTATAAGGAATAAGTTAGTAAATTTGGAATCCTCAAATTTAAACGCAGATATTTTTTTGTTTTAGCAAACACTGGTTACTTGATCATGAAGCAATAGTCATGAAAATTATAAATTATAATGTTGTTTCCTATTACTGTCGCAAAGAGCATTATTCTCTCTCATGGAAGGGTAGGGATTGCTATTAAACAATCCTCGGCACGCACACTTTCAAAGGCAGAGATGACATAAATAGTCTATCGCAGAAAATGCATTGTAAAGTATGTGCAGTCCAATCAAATAAACTAAAACTTATTGCAATAACCTACTACAGACCTCCATCTGGAAATTTTGAAATTTTTTAAAATGCTGGGTGTCCTTAGATAAAGTGACACATTTTGCAGGTAAATATCTAGAAAACGAGAAAAGGTAACGAGATGCGGTTTGTTCTGGGAGAGTCAGGATTTTTTAAAGTTTTTTTTCACAGTATTGCCGCATCCTGAAATTTATTGAAATTTAGTTTCACGGCGATTTTTTGAAATATTGTATATAATTTTTTTGAATTATTTTGAAACGTCTCCTTACAAATTGCACAAAAAAAAAGATAATTAATTTGTGTTCAATACTTTTATTAACTAATTAAGTCAAAGCCTGGTTAACTAATCCATGTTTTGTTGGAGGGGGTGTGCGCCAAAAGTTTTAGTGTAAAAAAATCCAAGAATAACTGTTCAAACCTCGTTATTCTACGATAAACCATCGCTGAGATATACCGCTTTAAAGTGTGTGTGACGTCACGAGAGCTTCGTCCAGCCGCGCTCCGCATTGTTAATTTGATTGTTTCCGGCACGCGTGAGTGGTTTTTGTTTAGATTATTGCAGGTGACACAGGAAAAACATATGTTAATTCAATTTACTTCACTTTCTCGTGCGTCGCTTGAGCTTTCGTGACGTCATAGGGTGAGATTCGCTACCTTCATAGAGCCATATCTTCGGTATTATTTGTCATAGAGGGGTGCGGTTTTCACTATTATTCTTAGATTTTTTTTCTCTTTTTTTTTTCAGATGAAGTTGTTTTTTTGGCGCACACTCCCTTTAATAATAAGTTGTCAAAAACATTTTCTAACATAGCGCGGAATATTTTCGATGACGTTTCGTCTGTTCTGCATCAATTCCTCCAAGGTATGAGGCATAAGGTTATAATATCGTTCTTTTACATAACCCCATAGAAAAAAATCTGGAACAGTTAATCTATGGGGCCTGTTCTATCAATCCATCGCCCAGGAAATTTGGTATTGACCGACTCTCGAGCAATTAATGAATAGGTAGCGGGAGCTCCATCCTGTTGAAAAAATACCTCTTCTCCAATTCCATCCTGTTCAATTTGCGGATAAAAGAAATTTTCTAGCATATCCGCATAATTATCCCCTCGCACAACATTTTTCACAAAAAACAATGGCCCATAAATTTTTGTTGCAGTTACCCCACACCAAACAGAAACTTTTGGTGAATCCCGTTCAAATTCGTTGAAAACACGGGGATTTGCATCCCGCCAAATGCGGCAATTGTGTTTATTAACTTTTCCGTTAATATGAAAAATAGCCTCATCCTTCATCTGACATAATTAATTTCGATTTCGTATTGGGCTGCTCTCGGAAAAGGTCTATAAAATCACTTCACGCAAATGTACCCGTTTTTCGGAACAAGGTTCGGGAATCTTTTGAAAAGTTTGTATTTTATACGCCTCTAGATTAAGTGCGCGTTCACATTGACACCGCTCGAGCGGTGAGCGTTGCGCGATGCCGCTTTAGCGATGCCCAAAAATAATTTTAACATTATATTTCAAATGAACATGTTGACACCGCGCGACGTACCGATCCAGTGTGAACATGTTCATTTGAAATATAATGTTAAAATTATTTTTGGGCATCACTGCAGCGGCATCGCGCAACGCTCACCGCTCGAGCGG